AGTGATACCTTTTTTAAAAAAAAAATCACCAGAAATTTATTAGAAGAATAAAAATAATAATAATTTACAGACAAACCTCTGAACAAAGGCCACTGACGGGAGCATAAAAACTGGACGTTGTTTTGTATGCATTAAAAGAAGTCCTGACAAAATGGCATTGTTTAGAGGCTCGATTGTACATATATTTTCTCAACGTTCCTATTCAATTTCGTACACGTTTGTAGATTCTATATAAAGACATATAGAACTTGTAAACGTACAGGAACTGCATACATAAATCTACTATATTTGATATTTATATAAAAAAATTTCCAATAAACCTTTTTATATGGATTTCTCATCTCTTTGTACAGAAGTTCGCCAGTGTTTATTTTATACTTCTCTGTGAATGATTTTTTTTTCTATAGAAGTTCAAAAAAAAAGTTTGAATTAAAATAAAATTAAATTTGCAATAAAAAGTAAAAAAAAATTTTTTATACAATTTTATCAAAAGTTGACAATAAAAAATACAAGATTATTCAGCAGTCGAGCAATCTTGTATTTTTTCATTGCAAACTTTTTGATAAAATTACTGTACATAAAAAAACATTTTTATTGAAAGTTATAGCAATAAAATTCATATATATATATATATATATTACTATTTAATATATATTTAATTATTTAGCGCATGTTTATAAAGTTTATTTTTTTAATTTTATAATAAAATTTACATTTTTATCAGGGAAAGTAATGGAACATATTCGTTTAACGTAGCTTCACAGAGTATGATTTATATTATTTTATACTGTACGCCTTTACGTTGAAAGCTCTTATGTGTAGTTTGCCCGAGAAAAAAACTTTTGTGTGGATCTTTCTAACGTGACATTTTTACAGAATTGAAAGGGAAAAAAAACAGAGTTAAGGTATTTTGTAGAAATGAAATTTTCTTCAAAGGAGTTTTGTAAAATTGACTTCTTTTTTCTTATATTTTTAAGATTCTATATCATACGCCGTATTGCTATAAGATTTTTTTTTTCTTTACGAGACGGTTAACATTTTATTCACTAAGAAAAACTGTTATATAATATTTGAGAATGAACGTTGTTCATATCAAAAATTTCTCCAAAATAAAGCAGTAAATTTATAAATTATCAAAAATATTCATTATATTAAGTGACTTTGTATCGTTATTAGAACGTGTAAGATGTATATTATTAGAATTATTTATATATTGATTTATATACCATCTGATATTACACTGTACTTCACTGGGATAATCTGATATTATATAACAGATTACCCCAGTGAAGTACAGTGATTATAAATCACTGTACTTCACTGTACTTCACTGTACTTTTTAGGTGTAATGGCAACTTTAGGGGGTCTTCAAATTAGAATGCCCCCCGTGGGATTCTGTGTTACGTCACGATCGCCGGAAGCAGGTGGAGAAGCAAGTTTTCCACCTCTCACCTTTCGGTTGATCCGGCACAATGGATCTTTCAGATCTGGGTACTTCTTGAATATCGATTTATGTGAATATGTAGATTGCAGATTAGGAAAGTTTTCGATTTTTATTTTATTGTACTACAATATACTGTAAACTTTTCTCGATCAAAATACATCAGTTTTATTATCTATTCCTAAATTATATATATACTTTCTCTTAACATTGTAACTCCATAGCTCTTGATATTCAGTCCACATTTAGCTAAACATTTTTATAGAAAAATAAATGTCTTTTTTAAAATATATAATTTAGTATTAAAAACGCATAGTTAAAATTAAATTCTGAAAGATATTTCACTTAGAAAGACAATTAAATTTCGACTAAAATTCTTATAAAAGTTCTAAGAAATCGATTCGTTCGGAAGTACACACTTGACGTTTAAAGCATAACTTTTAACTCAGACAATCATTTAATAACCTATTAAATATGCAAATTAAAATGAATATGAAAACATATTATAATTAATATTTATGAGATAAATTTTACTGAATAGTTACGTCCATTTAAACGTCGCCACGAATTCTTAATGGGTGATCATAAATGATTCTACAACAGGACAATTGGTCTGGTATGTAAATGACTGTTTCATGAATTAATACTTCTTGAAGTTTTACGAGTTATATTTTTCATTTCTTTATCAAATAAAAATTTGTAGAACGTTATTTATTATACGCACGTTACTCAAAAGTTTTTCTATATAGATTCTATTGTATAATTTAATTTGAAATTTATCTTATTAATGTATAAATATCTAGAAAAATTTTTGAATGGGAAAAAAGACTAATGAATGAATCTGTAGGAATTATTTCATTAAAAATGCTTAATTATTTTAATAATAACTTTAGTTATATACAGGTAGTTGAACAATGTCTGATATTTAAAATGCTATTTATTAAGTTTATTCTGTTCGATTTATAATGAATGCATTCATTAGAATATCGTAAAATTCTAAAATTTTCTATGTATAATATAATAAATTTCAGAAAAATTTAGTTTTACTACAGCTTCTATTTATAGTATGGCTAGAATTGTATTCTTGTCACTTACCTCTCTCATCGCTTCAAGATAAATGGTGTTAGACGAGAGACAAAAATCATTTGAGAGATAAAGCGATTTTGATACCACAAAACGGTTCGACTTTGTTTTTTTTTTAAAGACAAATTACTTCTTTTTTCCTATAACTTGTTCTTACTTTAGATTCCTTTTACCTATAAAAAAATGTTTATAGACATCTAAAGTACAGGTTTGTAAATTTCAATGATCGAAATCTTCAAATTTCAGAATTTTAAGTATTTAATTCTAAGTTATTACGTTAAAAATAAACGAGTATAATTGTTTTATTTTCATTTATATTATGTTTAATTAACATTCTTACTCAGATAAAAAGATTTCGTTGTATCATTATCATAATACAAGACTAATTCCGGAGACATTACATTTATAACCTAGTAATTGAAAATTTTACGAAATAAGCTTGTAAAATCATCAAATTAATACGTGGAAAAGCCATTTCAAGGTTAACTATTCATTTAAAATATTAAATATAGGGGGTAGTTAAAGAAATAAAATATATATAAAAAGATTATAAAGATACCTTTCATATAATAGAAATGAAAAATAAATCATAATTTTGTTATATTTGCGGTTAAATTAATACTAAATCCTCATATATTAATTAAAAATTGTAATTATTTTGTCAATAAATAAGACTTTTAAAATAAGAGAGAATTTTATTTCTATCTTGAAATATTGTTTTTAAGATAAACTCATCTATATAACAGTAAAAAGCGGATACGATCCAATCATCTACTTCATTTTCTTCTGCAACTATATATAATAAATCAAAGTCTGTTGACAGTTATCATTTGTTTTTCGAAGATGGTAAGAATTTCGAGAGAGGTGGTGTCAAAGATCGGATTTTCTGATAGATGGCCTAAATACGGTTGATGGACTTAAAGCCAATTAGTTGACATCATTTGATGTATAGATTGCTTTTCGTTGATGAGTGAAAATAACCTAAATTTAATCCAAAAAAAAAAAAAATACTTAAGTATCATCTATCATTTTTCTTTTACAGAAAGCTTAATTGAAGAAATTATATAAGAAGTTCTTTTTAAAATACATTATTAAGCTTACATGTAAACGTTTTAATTCTGTTATAGAATCATTTAAAAACTTATTAATACCAATAGAATATGTTAGAAGAAATTGCCTCATTAATTTGAGATTTTAACTTGAACATAATGGATTAAATCAATTAAAGTTGACAATCTTTTTCTTTACATTGTAATCTGAATAAATTCTTAGATTACAGTTATTATTATTAATTAAGATTGATAAGTATAATATGATACCCTGAAGCAGTGATTGTTCTTAGTCATAAATTTCTATCTGAATTTCTACAAATTCTTTTATGAAATAATAAGTAATTAAAAGTATCAATGAAGAGTTCATTGAAACTGAATTTTATTCTAATATTAATATTAAAAATTATTTTAAAAAAATTGATTTTATTCATCAACAGCATATGCTGTTAAAATGTGNAATTTTGGTTTAGATATACACTAACTATATATCATTGACTGTTTAGGAATTATATAATTCTATAAGTAAGCTGTTTCTCTATTTCGCTAATGAGGAAAGAAAGGACAAAAGATTCTCTTCTTTATATAATCTTCAAACTTGTTATCCTCAAAAAACACTTTTATTTATTATCTCGAGAACTGTCTTGTCTATCAAATAGAAATTTTTATAAAGAAAAATTCAATCCTAATTGAAATGTTGTTTATGACACAGTAGGAAAAGAACTAACTAATAATAAACACTGTTAAGGCACAATGACAGTACTTCAAGAAGTATTTTTAATATAAAATAAAATAAATCAAAGACTTTTATACATAACGAAAGCTATGTAACAAGCTATATAAATTAATTAACATTTTTAATAGGTCTATCATTAAAACATAATTAGAACTAGAAAACATTTATGAAAAATTAATATTGTATACAAAAATAATTTAATTTTTTAAATACAAACGAGCAATTATTTATTATGATATGGTCGCAATGCCAGGCTGTAATCTTTAATTTATTTAATTTAAAATATATGCTCTCGATTTCAGTAGTGTCTTGCTCCTGTACATCATACTTTTCATGATAACAACGGAATCATGCCGGTCACCTATCTAATTCCGTTCTAGAAAATATTTTTGAATTAAAATCAAAGTAACTTCTAGTTCAAGCTAGAAGTTTATATAAAATTAATCGGTCTCTCCTGCCTCTAAGTTTTTCATATCCGGTCTCGACTTTCATCTATTACGTTCTTGACATTAATGAAGGACAGATAAGAGAGACAGACAGGCAGACGGACACTAGTGGAAATTTATAGGTCTGAAATTTGTTGCCCAATAAATATTTATAATTTTAATAGAAAATATAAAAAAGGGCTTGTAAATTTAATAAGTTGATTTAAAATCCTTTGTGTTGCAGACTTTATGTTATCAAGAAATTCAAGGATTTGAGAAATTGTGATTAATTCTAATATAATCCCTCTTTCAAGCATTTATATAAAAAATTAATTAGGTTGCAATTTAAAAAAATTGTAGACCTATAAATTCCTATCGTTAATCTGAAGAATGGTGTTAAATAGATAAAATTCGAGACCGGATATGGAAAGTTTAGGGACAGAAGGCCCCGATTAACTATATGTGAACTTTCGGTTTGTACAGGAAATCATACGATTTCAATTCAAAAATTTTCCCCGAAAGATGTTAGATAGATGACCGGCACGACTCTATTGTTAAAGGAAAAGTATGATGTACAGGGGCAAGCCACTACCAATTTGAGATGGAGAGCATATATTTTAAATTGAATTAATTGTAGAATTAAAAATTTATTTTTGCTCGTTTGTTTTGGATTCTAAATTCATTTGAGAATTTAACTAATTCAAGAGCCGATCTGATAAGAAAACGTTATATTACATAAGAAAAAATATCTAACTTGGCTTGAACTGTTATCACTCAGCACATCTGACGATATTGATTACTTGATATGTTGTATGTTTTATATTTCGTCTCAGTGGCATTTTCGTTGCAATTTGATACTTGAAGTCAAGATGGGTGAAAATGTCTGTAAAACAACACGAAAAGTAAATTTATATACTTTTTTCAAAATTCTTCTTCTTGAAGAACAAGATAAAGTATCAGAAAGTTAAAAAAAATCTTCTATTTCTCTGATATTTTTTTTTGCCATCTGGGTATTGCATTATGGATTTTCTTGGTTGTGTTCCAATTTGTATTATTTTAGCTTCGTATCAATTTGTATCTGTTCGAACTGTTTACAGTAGTCGAAATTAAATACATTTTCTAAAATATTCTATTATATTTCTTTATTTATAAGTGAAAATATTTAAATTTATTCTTTAAAGTTTATTTATAATCAATGTTTGTTTTTATTTGATTGTAAGTGTATTATGAACTTACAAGAGTTGGCGCAGAATATTAATCTGTTGCTAATTTATCAATTAATTATTCATAATTATTCTTTACTATATTTTTCTTGTGTTTCAATAGTTTTTACTAGGCCTTTCTATAATGGGAGTAATTGTACTGGAGATCTAACCTTGATGTGCTGATACCTCCCCCGTTGACTAATTAATTTCCATCAAATATTAATATATAAATGGAATACAGAAAGCAAAATTTGAAAATATGAACAAATATGAATTATTGTCATTGAATCTCCAGGCAGTTGTGTTGTTTTTTTATGATCGATTAATTCAAAAATTTTCTATTTATCTAATCAAAACAAACGGAAACGAAGAATTATTTATTGTAACATCGTCGCAATGCCGGGCTGCAATTTTTAATCATATTTTTAATTTATTTCATTTAAAATATATGCTCTCCACCTCAAATTAGTAGTGGCTTGCCCCTGTACATCATACTTTTCCTTTAACAATAGAGTCGTGCCGGTCATCTAGCTAACACCTTTCAGGAGAAAATGTTTGAATTGAAATAACGTAACTTTCGGTTTACATCGGAGGTTCTTACATAGTTAATTGGGGCTTCATGCTCCTAAGCTTTCTATACCTGGTCTCGTCTTTCATCTATTTAACTCCGTTCTAGGGATTAAGAAAGGACTAACGACAGTGGTCTACAATTAAAATTGCAGCCTAATTATTCCAAAGAGTTTTTTTGTTTCTGAATAAAGTCTGTTAGTTTGTATATTTTATCACCTTTCAATTTAAAAGTTTGAAAAATTTAAATTTTTTTTTTGAAATTCATAATTAATGTTCTTCAAAGGATAACCAATTCGTAGCATATAAATAATCTTTAACAAGTCTGTATACGAGAACTATTTTTAATTTAATTTGGAAATAACTAATTTATATAAAATAAAGTAGTTATTTCCGTCTTATGCTTATCCATAGGTCAAATGTCGAATTAGTGTAAGAAGCTATATTCCACTATTAACATTATAGTAAGATAAATTGCATGGTTCTGACAATCGATTTATTATATAAATCTATCTTTGTCCTCTTCGCTAGANAAAATAATGAAATCAAAGTAAATGTAATGGAAGGCCGAATGGACGAGACGGTTAAGGCATCATTAAGGCCTATCTTCCTGGGGACCTAGAATGTAACACGAGTTTAGGTTTATTTTGGTAATGACAACGTTTATTTTTTTTACAAATTATTTTGGTTTATGATAACGCGACGGGTGCCGAGGGGGATGCCTTCCGGGAGGACTTACTTAGGGAAACTGAACCCTATTTAGGTGTTACTAACGTTAAGAAAACTCGGAAAACTCCATGTTGGCGAGGCGCAAATTTACGACCGACTAACTACCAATGTTCAGTGGTTTTATGCACTCGGCCACTAGTGGGCACAGGATTAAATACGAGCAAGCAATTCAGAAGAACGTCCATCTGAACCCACGCGAACTCAAGACCATAAAAAAGATCATCTTAGAGCCCTAAGGTCATAAAGAATTAAAAATGGAAAAATAAAGTAAAAGTACTGTACTGCACCCACCACTGTTGTTGTAATCGTCATCAATGTTGGATAAATATTACACCCGTAAGGTTTTATAATGTATTATTGCATAGAAATTAA